TGGAGATCAGAGAAGTAAGAAGGCTGTCCTAACTCTGACTGGGCAAAGGGGAGGGGCCATGGGGGCAGGAAAGATGGTGGAATGAGATGGACATCATTACCCTAGGCACGTGTATGACTGCATGTGGTGTGACGCTACATCGTGTACAAACAGAGAAATGAACAATTGTGCTCCATTTGTATGCAGTGAATCAAAATGCGTTCTGCTGTCATACATACCAATTTCGAACAAACAAATAAATAAGAAGGAGATCCAAAACAAGATGGCCAAAAAAAAGGGCAACACTGGAATTGAATTTGCATGAGAATGATCTGGAAGCCCAAGCTTTTTCCTCTGTACAGATCCTAGAAAGGGCCACATATACTGCATGGTGATGGTTTGAATTCCTTGGCCTGGGCACCCTTCTCTTCATGGATCAGTTGAGGGAAATAACCTGGGACTCTAGGTTACTAAAATTTACTAACCAATGTCTGCCTTTTATTAAAGTCATTCACAAGAATGTGGGCTCTGACTGGATGAAGGTAGTTTTGTGGTTTTGGACTTCATAATTTCCTAGCAAAAGTTCTTTCTGAAAAATCCCCCCTTTCAGAGTTGGCCTTGCAGTAAAAGAGATTTTTTTCCCTACACCTCAGCCACTATCAGAGTGGTTATATGTATGAAGAACTGGGGCACGTAGTGTGTACCCCAGGGGGGACAGACCAGGCTGACTGCAGGGCTCTCTTCCTGCTGGTTGCTCACAGATGCCCAAGGGGAAGCCCCATCCCTGCCTCTGTCCCAGAAACTGCATTTAGACCTAAAACCACTGTAGTCAGGACAACTCTAACTAATAAACCAACCCTAGGACTCCTTGGAAAGTCTGGAATTTAAAAGCGTCAGGGACCTTAGAAATCTCATTTTGCACACGAGAAAACTTACTCCAGAGAGTGTTTTCTTGAGGTCACACTATTAATGGCTGGGCAAAATTACTGCTTTGGATTAAACAGAATCCACAGAAACACTTTATAATCAGAAGAAAAAATTTAAAAAGGAAAAAGAGAAATAAAACTTGGGCAAAAGAGAATAAGGCTCTTCATGTGATTTACAATTTGTCCAGGGAAAGACCTGAACTAAGAGATGCAATGTTGTGTTTCCTGCGGGAACTCGGGAGTGGGGATCACAGAAGTATGAGCGGTCAGAAGACTTCGGGGAATTGAGGGGCTGGAGTGGGCACCCCGGAACAGCAGGGAAGGGCGCAGCTAGAGCAATTGGGTTCCCTCTGGGGGGTCCCTCTATGCCCCTGCCCCTCACTCCCCGCTCAGAAACCTTGGGTTCTGGAGCAAAAAATGTGAAAAGGCAGAAACCAGTCTGCATGGTGAAGCCCCACTCTCCCAGGGCGCATAAGCACCCCCGTGCCCACGGGGGAGGCAGTCTAGGGATCCTGGCACGCTCGGAGCCTGCAGGGAGGAGGCTCTCCGCCTGCTGTGCCAGCCCCTTGGGGACCTCTGGTCCCTCTCCTCTGCCTGGCTCCATACTGTTGGCCCCCAGTGTCCTCTCCACCCATTTCCTTTGCTGTATGCTGCTGCTTTGGCTCAGCAAGGCTCAACCCCAGCTGCCCTTTGTAGGCGCTTGGGAGCGAGGGGAGGACCCTGGGCCACTCCCTCCTCTGCCCGCTACAGCTCTGCCTGTCCTGGCAAAAGAGATGGCAGCCCTGCAACAGCCCTGTCTGCCCGAGCTCTTCTTGTCTGCCTTCTTAGAAACAAAATCTTAACAACTGAAGATGGTGCTTTCAAATCCCAGTTTCATTATATGTTTGCTATCTGCGGAATCCCAACGAGGGCTACTTAGGCTGGGTGTGTATGATGTGGTGTGTGCGTGTGTGTGTGTGTGTGTGTGTGTGTGTGTGTGGAGATGCATTCAGTCCTTCAATACACAGGGAACATTCCAGAAAACAGAAGCAGCACTGTCCCTCATTTGCTTCCCCCACCTTTCCCACTCTCCTTTCCGTGTACATGGAAACAGTCTCAGTGAGTTGTCCAAGTGTGAGTTGGTTTTGCCTTCTGGAGTGCTGGCTAAGGGCCACAGGACTTCCAGGACTGGTAAGCAGCTTTTCCTCTGTGGTTTTCATTCATTCGTTTGAAAAATATTTACTGAGCATCTAATATAGACCAGGCAGAGTGGTAACAAAATTTACATCTTTGCCCTCATAAGAATTTACATCACCATGGAGGAAAGAGAAATAAAGAATGAGCATAATAAATACATGAATTATGGGTTAGATGATGGTAAAGAAAAACTAGAGTGAGGTAGAGTGTGGAGGGGTCCAGTATTAAGTAGGGGCCTAGGTAGGCCCCAGGAGGACTCAGGCTGTGGAAACCTGCCTGGCAGGAATTAGTCTGTGCTCAGATTAGCAGGTGACACTTTGAAGAGCCCTCCTTTGTGTCCATAGGTTTGCACAGACCTGGAGATCCTTGAAGACGCATGCCTTTTACTGCTGGAATGGGATGGAAGGCTGGACATGGATTGGTTATATTTTAATAGAGCATTGCAGCTTTGATGACCCCAGCTTTTCCTTTCCCAGCTGCTGCAGAGCTGTAAAGTGGTAGTGACTTTTGAAAACAGAAAAGTAGGGGAAGGGAAAGCTCATAAAACACAGGGAGGTCTGTGTTTTGGAACAGGGTCACAGAGGTCCCAAGGATGGCTCTTGAGAAATTTAGTGGAAGGTTAGTCCATCTTTTAAGTGGGAAACAGGGGTGAAGTCAGGGGTATACTTTAACAATCCTAAATTAGGTTTTTCAACTGGAGTAATAATGACCAGTGTTAAAGTAGCTGGTGTCTATTGAGTGCTTACTGTGTGCTAGGCATTGTGCTTAGTTTTCACATGGAAACTCTTTCTTGGTCTTTGGCTTTTCTTCAGTCAGATTATTAGTAAGTTCCCTGAGAGTGGAGACCTCGATTTGTTCACTGCTGCACCTCAGTGTCTGGCACATAGCTAGTGCTTGGTGGACACATGAAGGAAAGGTTGCATCTTCAAGAAAAGTTTCCAGGTGCTTTTGTTCTGAGCCAGTGAGGTGTTGGGGAGGCTCGAGGCCCTTCATATACTTCAGAGTGGGGCAAACATAATGCATATTTCTTTTTCAACTCCAGGCCTTATATGGATGACAAATTTCTTCCCTCTACTGTGTTCATCACCTTCTCCTTCTCTAGGGTGGATAGAAGATGAAAAAGGAGAAGGAATGAAGGCCAAGAAGACCTTACCTTGTGATGCATTCATCACAGCATTCAGTTCTCAACAAGAGTCCAACTCACAGCAGAGAAAACTGAGACTTAGAAACGTTAAATTATTGTGGATGCTTTTTGGCAAATTGATATTAAGGCACCTGATTCTAGAGCGGAGCTCTCACCCATTGCACTGGCTGGGAGGACAAGAGTGCCTGATCATGATCTTGATTTTTCCCTATTGTTTGGTTCTCCATGGGGGCCATGTTTAAGACAAGTTCTCTGCCATTTAGGGGAGTATTTAAAAGTGCCAGTGCCAAATATCTTAACAATGAAGTCAAGGCAAGAGACCATATTATTATTTCTTTTTTTCCAGAACTAACGATTCACTATTACTTCCATTTCACTCAGTCTTCAAGGAGTATTGGGCTGTGATGATAATTTGGGCACAAGCTATTGTTTCTCACTGTTTGGCCTATTTACCTCCTTTGAGGTTGTCAGGGAACAAGGGGTCACTAATGACCATGATGCTTTGGTGCTAAGCAAGTTATTGATAGGAAGCAGCAGGAAGGACTAAAATTGCAATAAAAGTCCTCCCACCAAGTTGATTACACTGATGGTTGGCAGTTACTGAAGAAAATAATAAAAAAAGTATATGACCTAAAATGTTTTCAGTATACACATGCATGTAAATTAATATGTAAACACATATATTCATACAAAATGCAAAAAAAAAAATGTAAACTCACTTGCCATTTTTCCATGGCAGGTTAAGACCTTCACTTTAATTCAGGGACAACTGACTGGGGTTTCATATTATCTTTCTGGAATAAATCATATCTGTAGTAAATCATCCATGATTTCTAGTTTGGGGTTTTTTCAAGTGAATGAACAACTTAAAAACAGTTTTCAAGTAAGTTGAGTGCAGAATACTTGTAGATGTGCAGGTACTCCTCCCATTTTGAGTTGTCTTTCTCACATCTTATTTGATGGTGAAACTTTATGGGTCTTTTCAAAGCCCTCAAATTCATCTTTGTAGAGATAATTCTTTTTTTTTCAATGTACATGCTCTGAGTTTACCTATTCATTATTTAATTATACAATTATAATACAAGCACCACTAGTGTGAACAGGAGCAGGGCCAGACAGGCTAATGTGTGGCAAGCTCACAGCCCAGCTGGCAAGGGCAGGAGTAGACAGAGACTGAGAGACTTCTCTATGCCAGGGCCATCATGTGGCAGGTCTTCTAGAGGGAGTGGAGAGCAGAAGAAAGTTTGGAGTCAGCGAAGTGAAGGCCGACAAAGAGAGCTTCTACTTCGTGTATGTCTCAGATATGCCACCACCCTACCCCTCCAGAATTCTGCAACCCATTGAGAATGTGTCCTAGAAACATGTGTTCCCCTCATACATAACTACAGTCCACAGGTCTCCTTCCGGAGTTCTGCCCCCATTCCAGGTCATTGGAAATTAACATTTGACCCATATTCTTTTTTTTTAAAATATTTTTTCCCTTAGTTGTTGATAGATCTTTATTTTATTTATACATGGTGCTGAGAATCGAACCCAGTGCCTCACACATGCAAGGCAAGTGTGCTACCGCTGAGCCCCAGCCCCAGCCCCACAACCCATATTCTTAAGAGACTTTCTGGAAATGAAAAGCCAACTCAGATTTCTCTACTAAGGAATTTACATTTAGGAAACAGAAACTCAATAAATTAATGATAGGTGCTTGAATGGGTGTTTTAATCAGCTTTTTTTTTTTTTTTTTTTTTTGCTGTTGTGACTAAAAGACTTAACCAGAAAAATTGTAGATGAGCAAATGTTTATTTTGGGGGCTCAGGGTTTCAGAGGTCTCTCTCCATAGACAACAGGCTCCATTCCTTGGGGTTTGAGGTGAGGCAGAACATCATGGAGGAAGGGTATGGCAGAGGCAAGCAGCTCACATGATGATCAGAAAGCAGAGAGAGAGAGACAGAGAGAGAGAGAGAGAGAGACTCATTTGCCAGATGCAAAGTATATACCCCAAAGACACCCTCCCAATAACCCACCTCCTCCAGCCACACCCTGCCTGCCTTCAGTTACCACTCAGTAATTCCATGAGGGGATTAAGTCACAAGGGCTCTCATAATTCAATAATTACTCCTCTAAACCTTTGTCTCACACATGAAATTTTGGGGGACACCTCACAGACCCGTAACATTAGGAGAGAAGGTAAGAACAGGTGAATGCTAAACTGTATGATAATTGCATATTAAGAACTTCCAAGAGTGCAGAGAATATAGGTCAGTTAAAATCTTGATTTTTTTTGTCCTTCTCTTTTCTGAACTTGGAAAAGTTCCAAGTTACCTGGCCCCTTGGTTCTTTCTACCCTATTTCAAACTTCATACATTGCACCTGTCTGGCCTTGCCCTTGGCCAGAATGCTGGCTCAGATCCCATTATTCTTTCTGTTGTTCCAACCCTGATTTTGGATTCCAGACCAGTATCTCTCTGCCCTGTCCCCAACACCTTTCACTGGCCTGGAAGTGAGATGTTCTTTTCTTCCCTCATTGTAGCATCTAAGACTGATCCTGCTAAAGTAGCTACTCCTGGGGGTAATTCTAGCCACTAAACTAAGGCTTCTTCCTGATATGAACTGCCTTTTCCCCTGCAATCTCTCTTTATTCTTGCCTGCAGGAACCTTTCCTAGTTACCCAAACTACTTCCTAGGATTTTGCCCTTCTGTCCTTCTTCCAGCCATTATCTCAGGAATTTCAAAACAAGAAATTTTGTTTAGCTGGACTTGGAAGGACAAGTGGGTGTGGTTTGTCAGAGGGGCAGGAGAAATGTACTCTGATTAGGGAAATTGCTAATGGTTTATACTAACTTCATTCTCATTGGATTTTAGACTATGGCCATGTTTTTAGTAAGAATATGATATCATTATGTAGGGGTGAAGAGACATCTGTTTACCATTTTGCCCAGGGACCAATGTGTATTTTTTTTTTTTAGCTACGTCGTGAGAATTTTTAGAGTCAGCACTTAGACCTGATGCTTAAACTCCAACACATAAAAGACCTAAGAAAGACATGGCTCATGTTTCCTGTGGTTGTGGCAAGCTCTGGGATAAATGGATTAGAGAGTATTGGTAGGAATACTTTCCAATAGCAAAAGAGAGCTAGCTGTATTCAACAGAAAACTGACTGAACATAACATCCCAATAGCCACTTTAACACTCCAGGAAGATGAAAAAATATTTACAAATCCTCCGTATCATCTGAGAAAGAATAGTTAATTGCCTCTCTGTTGTATGGTACTCACATGAACTTTCCACATGATTTAAAGTTATTATTTTAAGAGGTAAAAGTTTTCATTGGAAATCATATCAGATTTTCCTGCTTTTTATTAAGCCAAGAATATTAAACCAAATTGATACTCCTAGATGGTTCAGGGTCTCACTAAACATATATTATATATATATTGCTTACCACAATTTCTGCTAATGGGAAGCTCTAGAGTAGCCCTGTTTTGAATCACATGTCTTTCCCAAACCCACTTATAATTGGTGGAATCAAAATGGGCACCTGTCCCAAAAGTAGCCAGTCTACAAGCTGGTCAATGAGTCTTGGCCCGTAGTTTGGCTTCAAAAGTCAAGTTGGACAAATAGGATACTCAGAAATTCAAACCAAACATGGAAAGAGGTAGAGTGTTGTGAGATGGCAGTGTAAGTAAACCATCTGTGATATAAAAGTTGGGATGAAAAGCCCCTGGTGGTATGCAAGTGGGCAAAGTAATGAGGAGCAATAGCCATGGTGGAGCAGGTACACGGTTGACTGAGGGAAGATTGAGGAGCTGATACACAGAGGTGTCAACTCCTTACAGTCAAAAGGGTAGGTACAGGAGGAGGACCCTTGTGTTAATACCATGCACAGGCCCTCAGAGGTCCTGAGGTGTCTGGGGTAAGGCAGCTGATATTGTCCCTATCTGCTGCTCTTCTCTTTGGAGTGATCAAACTTCTTCTTAGTTGTCTTTGGGGTTCCCCGAGTCCCTACTCTTCATTCTTGGGGATCCACTTCTCCAGGCTTCTGGGTCTGGACTGCTTGTTGGCCACCTTCTTCAGCCCTCAGAGGTCTGCATTGCTGGGTGTGCAGTTGTCCAAGGGAACAGTCGGTTTCCTCTTTTCTTCTGTCGTTTTCAAAGTGAGAATCTTCCCAGAGTGAACCACTGCTCACTTCCAGAGGCCTTTGGGGGTATTTTCAGGTTTGCAGCTGTTCTGGAGAATTAGAGGATCCCAGATGTCAGAGAAATACCACTTGGCTATTAATGCAGTATGTTCTTTCTTTCCTTTTTATTTTGGCAGCAAAAGCTTGCCTTTCAAGTCCCTTGCTTATTTTAAAATTAGTTTGCATTCCATGAGCTCAAACTAGTTGAGCTGTGGGGGGCAAATGAGCTAAAATGTTTATTATGCTAAATTTCAGGGAAAAGTCAACCCAAATTAAAAATTGAACTCAGGTAATGAATGAAATAAATATTGTTTGGTAATTAAGAACGTTTTAGTGCTGATTCTAACCCTTCCTAGAAAACACCTGATCGTAGTATAACAAGTAAAATAGAAAAATAATTCAGAGGGAGAATTTTAAACTTTCTAAATGCCAGGTGAGCATTATTAGGAAATCCCTTGCTGTCCATTTTCTTGAGAGACTGGAAAACAGATCTCTGTCTAGTTTTTGGATTGCTGTGTGTCTTTTATGTATGACACGGAGATAGAATTAAGGTTCATGGTTTGACTGGGTAGCATGAGAAAATAAAGTGATCCAATATCTTCAAACGCCAATCACTCTCTTCTTATCATGATTTTAGAAAGCAAGCACAGAGCAAATGTGTTCAAAACACAGCTTTCTACCTTCTTTTTTTCTGCCCCCACATCAGAAAGGAAGAACTGACTCTTCACTTCCCTGGATCTTCTTGTTGGAGACTTATTGTCCTGGAATGCAACAGATTTTGGGACATTTAACATATAAAGAATGCAGGAAGGCATCCCTTCTAGAAAGTCACATGAAAGCAAAGCAAAGAAAGGTTTGGGAGGAGATTGAAGGTATGGAATTTTGTTTCATTCACGTGAAAGGGTCATGGTGAATTTCTGTGCCTCCACACATTCACTCACCTACCCAGACACCCACCCACCCATGCATCCATTCATCCATCGTCTACCCACCAATTCCCCCATTCACCTACCTGTCCATCCATTCATTCATCCATCTATCTATTCACCCATCTAACCCATCTACCCATCCATCATCCACCAACCCATACAGTTATGTGGCTCAGAATTATGATTTACAAGTAAAGTTTGCCATAACATGTTTATTTGAAATAATTTTTTAAAATAGTGGGAAGTCATATCTGAATGTTAATTAACTTGTCAATGAAGACTGCTTTGCCAATTATGTAATATGGTGAATACTGTCCATAACTTCTATGAGCCAAATTTGCAGTTTCAACTTTTTAAAAAATATTTGCAGTATTAAACAATTTCCAATATGGCAGAAATTTCACTCTATTTATTTAAAATAGTGATAAATATACAAATTTAAAAATTTGTGCATGGGAATAGAGTTTTCCATTTATTTACATTGGAGATATAAAAACAAAATAATTGAGCACCATTGCTGTAATGGATGTTTCAGGGAGAGATGATATTTTGTTTGGAGAAGATGGAGAAGTGGGACTAGGGGAGATGATGGGTATGTAGGGCTCATTCTCAAACAATTCCATTTAACTGAGAAAATGTTGAACACTTGCTTTGTGCAGGGCACTAGACAAAGCTCTGTGGGCACACATAGATGAGTAAATGCTGATGATATTAACATGCTCTTCAGCCAGGGTAATTTGTATTAAAAAATATAACATAAATCATTATGGGAGGAAGTTAAGTGGGGTCCCAAAACTGTGAAATCTTGGGAGTGAAACATCTTGGTAAAGAGGGCCGCAGCAACGGTAGGTGGTTTTGTATCAGACTTTGAAAACAGGACCTGGCTTGTGTAATAATGTTCAGGGCAACACTATGCATGTGATTACCCACCAGACCAACCCAAATGCCCCTTTTGATAGAATGGATTGACAAATCATGTGTATTTAAACAACGGGATATTTTACCACAATGAAAGTCAATAAACTCCAATTATAAATTACACAGATGATGTTGAATGCCAAAAATAGCATAAAAGAGTATACTGTGTGTGTGATTCCATTTTTTATGTAAGGCCCAAAACAGGCAAAACAGGTTGTCATGGTTAGAAGTTGGTCAGGGTCATGGTTATACCTGAGGAGGAAGTTGCTGAAAGGATTTGCAGGGGCTTCTGGGTGCTAACTGTGTTGTGTTTCTGGATTTGGAGGTAGTTTACAGGCCTGGGCTCACTTTGTGAAAATTAAAACAGCTGACTACGATTTTTATGCTCTTACCTTTTTTTTTTTAATGTTACACTTTGATAACATTTAAAAATAAACAAAACCCTGCAGGGGTCTGGGGTTAAATTAGTCCAAGGTTGAATGGACTTCCCAGCTGGTCTGAATAACTGGATGGCAAGTGGGAATAAAGATGCCTTGCAGATGGGAGAACATCTTGAATAGAGTTTTGGATTTTGGTTGCCAGTTCAGATTTCTGCTTGTTACAAATTTTACCTGATCAATCAGGTAAAGTCGTTGTCTATCTCTCTTTCTTCCCCCATCACAAGGGTTTTCAAACCTCCGGTTCTTATTCAAATTGTGAAACAGTATACGATTTAGAGCTTATCAGTGGGGTCCTAGGCAAGGCCACATCCACCCTGCACATTGTAGCCTCTCGGCTGCAGGACAGGCGTCCATGCCCCTCACTCTCAGTGGGACCCAGGGATCCAGAGCAGCCAGGAGCTGGCTGGAACTTGGGCAGCCTGATTCAAAATCTCTCCCTCCAAACCGTATGGGAAGGTCTGAGGACCAGTGGACGGTGTGACAAGCCTCTGGGGGCAACTTTTCATATGCCTGGCAGCCCAGGGAAGGAAGGAGAAGCCTTTCTGTGGTTCTCACGGGATGGAGAGCCTGGCACCAGGCAGGGCTGAGGATCCCCTGGCCAGCCCCGTGGGTGTCGCCAGATCTCTGCTGGGTTCTGCTGAGTGAAATCAAAGCCACACAGACTGAATGGACATGCCCCGTCCAGGGGACTCTGGGCGGGTCAGCTGGCTTGGAGACAACAACAGGGCCTCAACGTGACCGTCCCCACATTCTGCAGACTTAAAAGGGAAATCCTTTGGATTCTGACTGGACTCCTGGGGCTCAGCCCTGGCCTGGCCCTGAGGCTACAAAGAGGAATAACATGGAAAGTGCTGTAGGTGGCTCTTCCAAATGATCAGAGATGGCTTCATTTCTGCAAGGATTCCGTAGCCTGAGCTTTCTGCCTTCCGGTTCCCTCCTTTCCTCTGCTGGCTGATGCCCACGCCCTCCCTATTGCTCCTCATTAAACTCATTTCCACGAACCCACTTTTTAAATTTTATTAGTTCCTATTAATTATACAGAGTCATAGGTTTCATTGTGGATTACTTGTATATGCACTGAACATATTTTGATCATTTCCACCCCCATTACCCTCCTTTCCTCCCCTCCCCCGCTCCCCTTCTTCTTCTAATAGTCTTCCTTCTACTTTCACGTTGTCTTTTTTTTCCCCTAGATACCATATTTGAGAGAAAACACGTGATACATCTCTCTCTCAGTCTGGTTTATTTTGCTTAACACAATGATCTCCAGTTCCATTCATTTTCCAGTAAATGACAGGATTTTGGACTTGTTATGGTTGAATAATGCTCCATTGTGTATTTACAGCACATTTTCTTCATCCATTCATCTGTTTTGGAGCACGTAGGCTGATCTCCTAACTTGGCTATTATGAATTGTGCCTCAATAGATATGTGTATTCGGGGTATTTTCATAGTATGCTACTTTCATTCCTTCAGATCTATACCAAGGAGTGGTCTCACTGGATCATATGGTAGTTCTATTTTTAGCTTTTGGAGGAACTTCCATAGTTATTTCCAGTAATTATACTAATTTACGTTCTCAGCAATAGTGTATACATGTTCCTTTTTCCCTACATCCTCCACAGCACTTATTAGTTTTTCTTTTTTTTTGGAGGGGAGGGTACTGGGGATTGAACTCAAGGGCACTTGACTCCTGAGCCGCATCCCCAGCCCTATTTTATATTTTATTTAGAGACCGGGTCTCACTGAGTTGCTTAGTGCCTCGTTTTTGCTGAGGCTGTTTTTCAACTTGAGATCCTCCTGCCTCAGCCTCCCAAGCCGCTGGTTATTATAGGCGTGCACCACCACACCTGGCTAGATTTTTGTATTCTTGATAATAGCCATTCCGATTGAGGTGAGATGGAATTTCAGTGTAATTCTGATTTGCATTTCCTTGATGGCTAAAAGTGTGGAATATGTTTTCTTATAACTATTGGCTGTTTATACTTCTTTTTTTTTTTTGAGAAGGGTCTGTCCAGTTCGTTTGCCCATTTATTGAGGGTTATTCATCTTGGTATTAGGTTTTCTGAGTTCTTTCTATATCCTGGGTATAAATATGTGGTATTCTGGGTATAAACCTCTGTCCACTGATCTATTATTTGCAGTAAGTTCCAGCTCGGTGCTCTTTAACCCCATTATCCCTCAGGGGCTGGCCACCCCTCTGCTGTCGTTTCTGAGAGCCTCTTCTCCTGTTCCTGCTCCACTCCATTCTCTCATGCTCTTCCCTTGCTGTTTAGAATTTCATTTTTTATTTTCTTCCCATCCTTACAAAGGCAGGATGCAGAGGAAGGCCCTTGAGGGCAAGACGACTAGAGCTGGACTGAGGACACAAATGAGCATTTTGGCGTGTGCCTTTGAGCAAAACATAGAGGCTCTTTCTGGTCTTTGGTGTCCTTATCTGTTGATGAGGGTGGGTCACGCATGACAGAAATGGAAAGGTTGTGTGTCGTAGCCAATTTTCTGTCACTCTAAGGAAATACCTGAGCTAGTTAACTTACAAGAGAAAAGGTTTATTCTGGCTCACAGTTTGGGAGATTCCCATTCATGATTGATTGGCCCCATTGTTGGGGGCTTGCTATGGGGTCGCACATCACAGTGGGAGAAGGCAGCAGAGCAAAACTGGTCATCTCATCAACCAGGAAGCAAAAGGGAAAGAGGACTGGCCAGGCTCCCTCTTGGAGGCATGGTTTTAATGACCTCCCACTAGGCTCTGCCTCCTAAAAG